GGACCCAGATGGGCTCCCGCACCCGCACCCGCTCCCCCTCCCCACCCCAACTGTTCCCCTCTCACTGCTTCCCCTTCAGATCCAAAACAAAACAGTTTATTTATTTAATTCAATTTCGAGGCCGCCTGACTTCTTAACGACTCTGAACAGCTTACAATTAAAAGAGAACCACATGTTTAGAAAAAGTCACAACCAACTGGAAGATCACACACTACCAGTAAAGCCCCCAATCCATAGGAACTCCACAACCTCCCATCCCAAACCCTGGGAGGACAACCACGTTTTTAATCATTTCCCGAACGTCATCTCTTGGGCGATATCATTCCAGAGGGCACATGCAGCAGGAGAGTTGGCACATTTCTGGGTCCCACAAGGTGACAATATTTAATCGACGGGACCCAGAGTGTGTCCACTCTCCCTGACCTGTCGGACAGGCAGAAATACTTGGAGACAAGCAGTCCCTCGGCTAGCCAGGCTAGCTTGATTTTTTTCAACCCAGACATACACAGTGAAGGATAAACCTATGTATAAGACACCAAAACGCCATGGAAGATCTCACCGTCACAAAGGCAGAATTGTTTCTGCAGTTTCAGACGATCGACAATAGCATTAGTTCAACCGTGTGGTGTCTAAAGTCTTTACAAAAAAATCCGGGCCTTTTCTGGTTCAAAATACTTACTCACACAGGATGATTCCATCTTCTAAAGCAGCACGAAAATTCTTGTTTCCGAAACTTTTCCCGGTGACTGCCTGCAAAGAAAAACATCATAATAAGCAATCTCGTGGGAAAACTGTGAAGAAGAGAAGCTTTAGATACACCAGTGGGGTTACTTTCAACAGGGCAGATCCATACTCCCTTTGAGGAGCAGGACACCGCTTCCTTTCAGCCATGCCCTAAGGAAGGGGCAGGGTATGGTCCTGGTCCTGGTGCTCAGAGAGAATCCAAAGTGGAGGGACAGTCCAGCACCTGCAGGACTCGCAGCCAACCCATCTCCAGCCTTAAGAGGTATTTGGTCTCAACCAGTTTGGGAAATGCAGCAGACATCAAAGTCAGACAAAGCTTCAGTATGGAGGCCTTCACTGTGGAAGGGATGTGATGGCCAAGTATTTTAGATGGCCTCCTCAGGCCAGTGGTCATCTCTCATGCTGATGAGTGGGAAGTACGCGGTATTTAAATAAAACCACACTCTAAAAGTATGATGGAGGTAATTCTGATCATGAATTACTGCATTCAGAGACCTCTTCTTCCAAAGTGATTCTACCCAACTTTTCTCCAAGAGCAGGCCACACACAGAAACCATGTCCCGCAGGTTTCCACTGCCATCTGGTCACGCAACTTTGAATAAGAGTAAAGAGTTCTCCTATGTAATGAATTCTTACAGTAGTCAAGGAAGAAAAGGAAAGAAAACTATCTCTACTAAATGTTTTATTTGCTTTAGGTAAATAAATAATGGAAGAAAAATTAACATTAAATCAACATATTAGTATCTTCATTTAGTTACACTGAAACAGAGAAAAATTGCTTTCCAAAACATACAGATGGAGATAAGAAGTCTTTGGCAGGGTGGGAGACTTTTCTGGGAAAAACCGTTTTTTTTTTTAAAAGTGGCCGGAAATGTTTTGTTGACTTTAAATATTATATTATACATATTATATATAATATAACATAATGTATTAATTAAGAAAAGTATTCCAAAATTGTTATCCATCTTTTAATCTCTCCCATTTTTCAGCAGAAAAATGACCAATAAATCATGTAAATCATAAATAATTATTTAAAAATGATTTCTGAATGCTATTTTATGTAAAATTATTTACATTATGGGCCATTACAATTTTGTCACAAAATGAGAGGAATCAGAGTTCAGCCAATTGTCACTCCATTTGCTAAATTCAATCAATCCATTTTCAACTAGGGTAGGGCCGCCTTTCTAAATCCTGTTTAGGTCCTTGCCTGAAACACCATTTCTGAAAGAATTTCTGGAACAAGCAGAGAGATGGCTCCAGGGCCCAAAGGTGCTTTGCCCTCAAGTCCTTCAAAAGCTGGGCCTGATTCATCTGGGAAAGGGGGAACTGGATGACTTCGTCCCTGCACTGGGAGTGGACTTTTTACCCTGTTGCTCTGCAAAACCGAATAGCCTAATTTCTTCCTTGTAAATTTCAGCATCAGAGAACTGACTCCTTGTCCTTCAACAATGTTCAGCCAAGCAGAAGCAAGGAATCTGAATGTCATAATGGAAGTGTGAAGAAATGCACTCTGAAAGTTGATCAATTGTACCCTCTTTAGCTTATTCATGTCCCCCTTTGACAATTCCTGTGACAATGTGGGATCCTGAACCAGACCTACTGTAGGTGATCAAGGGACCAAGCGGCCTCTGTTCCTTGATGTGGACTGGAACTGACACACCTTGAAAAGCCTTCTTTCTGAAGACCCACTGATCTCCACGGGCCCAGATTCCTCCATCAGCTGACATCACAAAGTCTGGTCTTACCCCGGAACTTGCATCCAGCTGCAAGTGGGATTTTCCATTTCCTGATGCAAAATGTGGTCAGAAATGGAAATAATCTCTACATTATCACAAGTACAAACACCATTTGTCTGGAGGCTCAAGGAATGGCGTTTATCCATTTCAGATGGGATAGAAGTATTCAGCAAAGGTCTGTGAGAAGCCTCTTCCTAAGTGACGGATGCTCGCAGGACTCAAATGTGTAAAAATTGTGAAAGTGTAGCTCACCTGCTTAGCGGCCAACAGTTTCACTTTTAAAATATCTTTTATGGTGAAATGCTGTGCATAAAAGGCAGAAACTGTCTTTAGGGATCATTTTAAACCATAGGTTGGCACAAAGATTTTGGAAAATCTTCATATTTGGTTTCCTCTATGCACAGTTTGTCACACCATTTGGAACAGAGATTGTGGTTTATCACTGCACTGGCTAGTTTCATACCTTGTGTTGACATAGCATTAACCATACCTTGGTTTTAAACTCCAAAGTGGCCACAGTGCTTCTATCTACAACACTCTACTACAATACAACACTTCTGGATCCTAAGACAGCAATCCTCATGATATTGGACCCATAAATGCTCCTAGGGACCACTGGTGCACAGATCAAAACATTAGCGACAGAGAGACAGTTTGTTAAGATTAAATGGTATTGATTAAACTCTGGAAAATACAAGGCCATTTAACTGGCAATAGCTAGCATTTTATATCCATTTGTTGGTTTGCTCGCTTGAGGGGCCTTTTCCAAACTAGTGCTTTCCGAATGCATTTCCTGCACTAGACCTCCTCTGATTTCCAAACACGCTGGCTGGAGTCATAGCCCAACAAATTTGGGCGGACTGGGTGGGAAGGCTGCATGAGACAATTAACATCTAATGCATTACTACAGTACAAAATCATTGATTGTTAAGCACAATGATGCCTAATCTGATCAAAGCAAAGCAACGTTTCTCTCCAGTTGGCTGTCAGGGGTGCGGCTCATTTCTGCAACAAGCATGAGCAGAAAGAATCCCACGAACCTAATCTGAGAAAACCTGCTGCCAGAAGGAAAAGCTCTACCCATGTAATTGCATTTTGTCTTTATTTTTTCCTCTTGCCAATGGGTTCCAGCCTTGCTCTTTCAATAATACTATAATTAAAAGAGCCTTTCTGATATTTTTTTGCAATTTATTGTCAACCAAGTTGGCTCAAGTGAATGTGTACACCCTAACTTAACTCCTGGCTTTTTAACTTCTGTTTCAGAAGACTGGAACAAACTGGTCAAAGCGACAAAGGACTCTTATCCCAGAACATGGTCTTAAACTTCCCCAAAGAAACACCAAATCAAGCGCTGTTGGTGTATAAGACCATGGAAGCTGTTTCTGTGAGATCACCCAATTCGATCTGACCATCTAGGCCAGTGTTTCTCAACCTTAGCAACTTTAAGATGAGTGGATGTCAACCCCAGAATTCCCCAGCCAGCCATGC